CCCTCTTGCTCTTTTAATCTGCGATCCCTGACTCCAGGAGCTGGTAATGGCCAAGGACTGGGGCACAATTGGATTAAACTGGGATTCCTTGCCCAGTTTCTTTACCAGGCAGATTCATGAGGTTTTAGGAGCGCTGTTGCAATCCCTTCCCTCTAAGATCAGACGGGTGCTGGAGTGTGCAGCACAGGGATCAAAGTGACCTTGGAGGTAAAGCCAGAGCCACCCTGGAGCCTCACGTCCCCTCGTGTCCGGCTCCTAGGTCCGTTTTGGGCTATTTTGCAGCTTAATCCCTTGACAAAAGGAGCCGGCGCCTCCAAAAGCAACCAGGATGGGATTAAAGGGGATCTTTGCAAAGCAAAAAGAGGACCTTGCACTGATGCTGCCATCCAGCGCTGGTGCTTTTCCTCTGGGATTTGTCCCCAGGCTCGCATCTGCTTTGGTGCAAGGGGGTCAGAGGACCGGGCAGCCTCCCGAAATCCTCCCCTAGCCCCGCTCTTCTCTGCTCGCTTCATGTTAAACATCTGCTGTTAGTAAGGGCTTTGGTATGGAGGGAGTTGGCTCCCACCAATGCAGCCCAGGAGCTGTCGGGATGGGATTTTGCTTCGTGTTCATCCGTGCCCTCAAAGAGGCGGTGGCAGTCCCGCCTGTGCCTCAGTTTCTCCTGCTACCGGTGCTGTGGGCATCTGAGCCAGCACGCAGACACGGCTTTGGGGGAGAGGATCAGGCTGGGATATGTTTTTACCACTTGTTTTTTTAAAAGCATCTGACCCCTTGTTTGCTTCTTTCTGTCTGTGCTCCAGGAATCTCAGTGTTTTTCCCTCCCCTACAGAAATGCTGGCTTCTAGGGAGAAAGGAAGGGGAAAAACAAACCCAAAGCAAACAACTTTATAACAAAAAAAAACTCCAAATGTACAGCCTCAGGTTGGGTAGAGCATCCTTCTGCGCTGGGTGTGTCTGATGATATTAGATCATTATGTGCATACCACAGTAATAGTCAGTGTCTGCATAAAAGCAGTTTCTCCCCCCCCAAAATAATAACAATAATTTAAAAACCCCGTCAAAACAGTCTGGGGATCTTTGCAGCCTTCAGCTTCCGAGTGGTTCCCACAAAGAGGAAGAGATTTTGCCAAAGCCTGTCAGAAAGCAAAATCCTTCAACATTATCAGGTTAAAACCAACCCCTTCAGTTCCCCATGCTCTGGTTTATGTTTATTTTTCCCATATTTTTCCCTCTGCGTGTGCTGTTTGCAGCCTCATATCGTGTTATGCCCCTGGTACCTCTCTCCCACAGCAGTGATGCTGTGGCAGGAGGGATATCGGAGTTGCTGTGATGCGAGTGTGCTGGACAAAAGGCATCTCCCCTCATTTTTTGAGGGGGAAATTTATCTTCATGCCCCTTTTTGAGGTAAGGGGCTGATTTTCCAGCTGTATTGACCAGCTGGACAAAGGCAGAAACCAGCCCGTTTGAGCCTCTGGTCTCCCCAAACTGCCCCACATCTGATCCCGATACCCACACCTCTTGTGGGCGTTTGTCTCTTCTCCCAAGTAACAAGTGATAGGATGAGGGGAAATGGCCTCAAGTTGCACCAGGGGAGGGTTAGGTTGGTTATTAGGGAAAATCTATTTAAGGGAAGAGTAGTCAAGCACTGGAAGGGGCTGCCCAGGGACATGGTGGAGCCACCATCCCTGGAGGAGTCCAAAAACCGTGTGGATGTGGCACTTGGGGACGTGGTTTAGTGGCCGTGGTGGGGTTGGGTTGACAGTTGGACTTGAGGATCTTAGAGGGCTTTTCTAACATTAATGATATTGTGATTCAATGATCTGATCCCAATATCCACAGCTCCAGCCTTGGAGAAAGCAGCGTTACCTCCTGGGTGGCTCCTCAAGCCAGATCCCACTTACAAAAGCACGGGGAGGATGGGATGAGTGGGAGTCAACTCATCTGCAGCCGCTTGTTGGCCAAAATTGCTCAGTCCTGAGCCCTGGGGATGCTGTAATTTGCTTTTGGCCCCAGCTCCGACCCCGTGGCCAAGCCAAGGCGATGCAGGTGGATCTCTGCTCTCCCCAGAGCAGTAGGGGTCCCTCCGAAACCCAACTGACACCCCCACGGTCCAGGGATGGGTATAAATAGACACCAGATGGTGGAACAAGTGAATTTGACCTTTTAAATAGCTATTTGTTTGGTTCGCTTTCCAGATGAAGGGAAGGCGTATGGGTGTTTTCCGAGTCCCTCCATTCCTGAAAGGGTTTTTTGGCTGGACATAACCCTAGGGATGTGAGGGTCGGTGTCCCAAGGGATTTGTTTCAGGGACTGAGATCTCCCAGGTAACAAACACCGGGATGGAGAGAAACCTGTAATGGGTTAGAAAAGGATGCGGCACGATTTGCCCTCTTGGAAATGAGGGATGACCCCATGGTGTGCAGCTTAGAGCATCCTTCTAGATCTTCACAACGTAATTTTAGGAAGGCTTTGTGGTATTTTTAGGAAGGTTCCCAATGAACTTTCCCCATAGGGTAAACAGTTCCCCAATTTTTGTTAAATCTTGCCTGGGTGATGACTTCTCAGTGACATTTCTTGCATGCTTCGGGCTGGGATGTGAGTCACGTCGCGGGGATCTGGCCAGTCTAAATAAACCGGTCTCCTCAGTGCTCCCATCGTCCCTGCTGGGGCCTGCCCTGGGATAATGAGCAGGACAGGACTTGGGATCCGAGACATCTGTTTACATGGAGCTGCCAGCACCAGGATAAAATGTGGCAGATTAATTGAAAAGAGCCACAACCACCCTGGGTGAGCAGCTCTATCTTCCTAAATCTTCTTCGGTTGCTAAGAAAATGGCATTTTGGTGCATATCATCGTCCCAGCAGCATCACCATGGGTGAGATGAACCAGCTCTGTGCAGGAAATGTGAATGTTTGGATGAAACTCAGCCATCAGAGAGGGCTTCCACCAAGCCCTTCCAGTTTAATTAGATAGTGGCGCTGCAGCGAGACCGTGGGGTGTAATTTGTCTGGGGAGGAGGGAAGCCACTTTCTCTTTCCCAATCCTGCATTGTGTAATAGCTGCATTTTTTTGCCCTGACTCCGGGGCCGTGAACGGGTGCCAAGCAGAGGAGGAATTTCGATGCTGCGATAAGATGTTTACATCAGCCTAAACATCGCTGGCGCGTTTGACATATTAAATCATCTCTGGTCATCCCAGTTGCCCGAGCAGGGATGCTGCTCAGCAAAGACTCACCTATCAAAGGATTTCAGCCCAGTTTTGTCACCAAGGACGTTGGGTTCAAACCCACCTGACTGACACAGGGTGGTTTTGCACCACTGAGATGCTGTGTATGAGGCGGCTCCCGCCCCGGGGCAGCGAGGGCAGGGTTAATGCTTTGGGAATATGCAAGAGCACTCGTGTGAGGGTTTCCTGAAGGATTTCTGGGTGCACAGAGTTCATGGCAGGTGATACGAGGTGGATGGGGATGTAGGGGTGGGATTGTCCCACCAGCGCAGGGTGTAAAGCATCACGTATAGAAAAGGCAGCACTCAGTCCATCAACCCAGGCCTGAGTCCATCTGGATGTGGTAGGCTTCATAAATGAGGTTGATTTCACCTTTCCTAACCAAAAAAAAGAGCCCCATGGCACAGGTTTCGCCCTCTCTGCCCCTGCAGAACCACGTCCTAACCCTGATGTCCCTGGCAGCGCGCATCTACAAGCACCCCAGCCTGAAGAACCCCATCAACCTGGTGGTGGTGAAGGTGCTGGTGGTGGACGAGGCGGCAGCGGGGCCGGAGGGGTCAGACAACGGCGGGGGCACCCTGCGCAACTTCTGCAGCTGGCAGCAACAGTTCAACCCCCCCAGCGACCGGCACCCGGAGCACTACGACACCGCCATCCTCCTGACCAGACAGGTCTGAAGGGGGGATGCTTTTGGGTGGGGGAGAGGAAAGGGGTTGAGGTCTTCAACTGGAGGTTTGCCCAGCTCTTCTTGGAGATGTTTGGGATGCTGCAAATGGGACCCTATCACCTTGCCTTATGTCCCCCCCTCGGTGCTGCTCGCACACAGGACTTCTGCGGGCACCAGAGCTGCGACACGCTGGGAGTGGCGGACATCGGCACCATGTGCGACCGCAACAAGAGCTGCTCGGTGATCGAGGACGAGGGCCTGCAGGCAGCCTACACCCTGGCTCACGAACTGGGTAATGTTCCCTTTTCCCATGGGGGTTCTGCTTTTTCAGCCTGGGGAGGCCAGCCCCATTGCTGGGAGGGGATGTAGCACCCAGTTGGGTACTCCCCACCAAGCCTTGTGCAGCGCTGAGGGGCTTCTGGCACTGGCAGAAGTTGATTTGCACCCACAAAGGTGTTTAGAATTGCCCAATTTGGTTTAAATCAGTGCATTAGCTTGATGCGATGAGCTAAGGTGTGGGACCAAGCACTTGTGCCCCTTGGTTTGCTCTTCCTAGTGACGTACTGCCTAATTCGGGATGCTTTGCCTTGCGTACAGCACAGAGATCCAGCTAGCAAGCACCGTTCTGTTTATCGCTCCTGATTTAGGGAAGCAAATAGCTTTTGCAGCAATAGGCACTGCTTGATAACTTATAGATTATAGACTACAGATTACACATCATACATTACACCTCGCCCCCGCCCTCTGCTCCCCAGGCCACGTGCTCAGCATGCCCCACGACGACTCCAAGACCTGCGAGCGGCTCTTCGGGCCCCTCGGCAAGCACCATATGATGGCTCCTCTCTTCATCCACCTGAACAAGACTCAGCCCTGGTCCCCTTGCAGCGCAATGTACCTCACTGAGTTCCTGGATGGAGGGCACGGTAAGGAGCCTCATCACGCAAAAAAAAGCCTTGTCCTCAATTTCTAAGGCTCTTTGCAATGCCTGGAGGTGTGTGGGATGAAGGGGGCTTAAAGCAGACCACAGAGGGAGGGTCAACCCATGGTGTCAAGCCTCAACTCATCTCTTCCTTGCCCAGGCGATTGCTTGCTTGATGCCCCGGCCGACCCCCTCACCCTCCCTGCCGAAATGCCGGGTCAAGGAGCCCTGTACAGCCTGGACCAGCAGTGCCAGCAGATCTTCGGCAAGGACTTCCAGCACTGCCCCAACACCACAGAGGAGGACATCTGCGCCCAGCTCTGGTGCAGGACCGGCAGCGGGGAGCCCCTTTGCCACACCAAGAATGGGAGCTTGCCGTGGGCTGACGGCACCCCCTGCAAAGCCAATGGGCTGTGCTGGGACAGCCGCTGCGTGCCACAGGATGACCTGAAGCCCCAGGTAATGAGGGGGATTGGGGATCAACAGGCTTGACCTCTTGGGATTCCCAAACCTCTGACCCCAGTCTTGCCACCTCCTGGAGTAGCTTTGAACTTGCCTGATTTATTTTTTGGATATAGAATCATTAAGGTTGGAAAAGGCCTCTGAGATCCTCAAGTCCATCAACCCAAACCCACCATGACCACTAAGCCATGTCCTGAAGTGCCGCATCCACACATGTTTTGAACCCCTCCAGGGATGGTGACTTCCTCCACTTCCCTGGATAGCCCCTTCCAATGCTTGACCACTCTTTGAGCTGCTCTGAACCACAGCAAGCAGCCACAGTTCTGCAACTAAATAATTGCATTTTGCCCTGCTGGGGGAATTAGCAGTGATTTCTGAGTCAGCCAGCAAAGTACTTAAACCCAAGCTTAACTTAAAGCACATGAACAGACTGGTGGAAGTCGGTCCCAGCAATGTGGGGGGAGGATTTTAGCTCTGCTTCAGACCTTTGCTCACCCAGGGAGTGAAAGCTGAGGATGGACAGGCTTGGGGATGGATCTAATGGTTTGCTGTGACCTCTTGCAGCCGGCA